ACATGTCGGCCATTTTGAATTGTGCTTTCGCGAATAGTTCTGGGACCGAGTAACTCTTTCAGTGTTCAAATTCTTCATATGGCCTTGGAAGACGTGGCAAGCAAAACAAGACAGCACAATAACAAGGCAAGGTAAACTTGTAGGTATCGAGCATAGTTTGTGAAAGACATTCGATCTCTATACTCGACTTCAATGTATCAAGAGGTTTGTGAATTGATATTGCTGAAAGGTGACAGTGGGCTATCCAAACACGAAAAATTATAACATGAAGCTGCCTTTGTGTGTTTGGTGAGCCCTCACGTGACATTATTTTACGGGTACGAACACTCTTTATTTCACCCTTAAGACTCGTCTTTTTATTATTATTATTTTACCCTCAGTCTGCATTTTACCCCTGGTCTGCAGCGTGCAGTCTGCATTTTACCCTCAGTCTGCATTTTACCCCCGGTCTGCAGTCCGCAGTCTGCAGTCCGCCGTCTTCGTTTTACACTGACCGGCGATTTCAAAATGGAATATGCGAATTTGTCCTTGAGTGAAGAGAGCTCAAGTTCCATGGAATTTATCAATAGGAAGCAAGACTAAAATGGCCAAGAAATATTTCGGGACGACAGATTTATTCAAGACAGTTTTTGATTTGCGGTTAGAAGCGAAAAACGCACGAATTCCTTACGTGTACAAAGCCCACGTGGTAAAATTCATCATGCTCAGATCGTTGTTTACTTGCTTCAAGGCCAGAAATTGCGCAGCATTATGTTGAAAATTCTGAAAAAACTTCGATTTGACGCAAAATATTCTATCAAACAATACTTTTTGAACACATTGTTACTCGAACATAACATTTACCGGGCCATCGAATCGTCAAATTGTCGCTAGGCCTTGCTTGAAGTCCGAAAGTTCGGTTTTCACTTTACGTCCATAATTCGCATCGTCTTAGAGAATCGCAGTGTCGTTGACTCGAGCGCTTATTCACTGTCACCTTTAAGACCCTGATATCCATTCTTTTCCAAGCAGAGTATTCTATAGCATTGTTACTTTACATTCTGAGTTCCACAAGGTCTAACTCAATCGCAAATGAATGAAAAATCCGACCTAAAAATTTTGAGGGTCGACCGCGCGGACGCCATATTTTAAAATTTGATCATATAGTATTTCCTTGATAGCATACATGACAGAGGGCACGTACGTACGTAGGTACGCTCGGTCAGTCACGTGACAACCGAACGAAAAGAGGTTGACCATATTCCATGGGAATGGGGCTCTGCTTGACGCGCGCAAAGCGCGCGTGGGAGCCCCGCTATTATTATCATTATTATTATTATTATTATTATTATTATTATTATTATTATTATTATTGTTATTATTATTATTATTATACAATCATCTCAACCTTAAGCAACATGACATCAATCATAATAATAAATATAACAATATAGGTATCATCCTCCGTATCAATACCTCGCGCTTGTCCAATGAGAGTTTGCTCCACATCTCTGGAATTTCGTTTCTAAGTATTCGGTGTTGTTCGTTCTATGAACTGCAACAACAGTCTCGATGAAACCATCACTAGCATTGGACACAACTATGTCACCTGTCTTTGGGATGTTATTGTTTTTCTCTATTACCAGGAAATACGAGTGGACAATACTTTTTCCAGTGTCATAAGTGTGACCGAGGCACTTGTATATTTCTAAAAAACAAAAAGAGCTTTGTGAACTGATTGATTTCTCTTGAATAGAATTTTTTCTTCCCATCCCTCACGGGTAGGTGTTGTATTCACGCGCGACGTGTGTGATCTCATCGAACAGCCAATCATGTCTAAAAACTTGAACCTATTTTTGATGAATTTTATTCTATGTATTGTTCTATTTGGAGTTTTCTAATGTACCAGCTCTAAAAGTGCACATAGGATCGAAGTAAGCTTCACCTTATTCAAAAGTGACAAGATATAGCGATGTCAGATGTTCGAGACGATTGCTCACAGGAACAGGGATAACATCGCACGTCCTGTTTGTCTGTTTTTTTTTGGGGGGGGGGTACGTGTGTGTATTTGCCTTCTTGACTGTTTGTTTCTGTATGCACCAACGAGAAGTTCTGCCGGGCAAAAAATATTTTACATAACTATATGATTGTCAATCATTTAAGAAGTGTTAACTGGTTGATACAAAACTGTACACCTACCATTTGTAAGCACAATAACCCGACCCTCGTCTAACGTAATGTTGCCTGAAATAACATCCCAAAGGTCATCTTGATCAGGCTCATCTTCAAACGTCGAGTCGTCGTCTACTTGTACTGCAGTTACTTGGTCTCTAAAGTCCGCATACTTTATGACCTCTTCTAATCCTGCTGGGGCGCTCAACATCAATTGAAAAGGACCTTTAGAGACAATATTAAATTTAAACTTACATTAAACTCAATTAGGTATGTTTTAGAGATGCCTTCGCCAATTGTAAAAAAAAAAAAAACCAGTAAGATCTCAAAAAATCATAACGGTAACCAAATGGCTTATCTTACGTTTGATCTTTACATGGAGCACAGTTCTTAGAAGAAATTGGGAAAGATTTTCAAGCACCATTTGGCTGTAAATCAATGTTCACTATCTAATTAAAGTACTGATAATTAATTCCGCCCATGCCCCAAAAAAAACTATCAACGTACTCCTGTTTAGAACCACAATTTCTCAAATATCCAAATGATACGATGAGGGACGTACAACGATTGTGACAGAGCGTCATAGCCATCACACTCACCATCGCCGATTTCTTTGACTATCTTATGCATGATGCCTCCTGCTTGAGGACTACACAGTATATCATTTTTTTTAACTTTCAGGGCTCTTGGGGCAACTAAAACCAGCGACTCCGTGTCTTGTTTTGGCAAAATTACAGGACATGCGTAAATGAGAGTTTCGTTAGGCTCCACAAACTTCACATTTTTTGCGAATTCCACGTTATTTTTCCTCTGGGGATCTGTATAATTAACTTTAATTTTTCCGCCGGGACACTGAGTCTCATTCCACGATCTGCACTGGTTTTCTTCCTGTAATGATGTTTATTAAGCAAAGGTACAATTAGTACAGCCTTCGGCACCTAGGCAATGGGAGACACCTTACAATCAATTGCCTGGCTACGGGGGATGGTGCAGTACAGTTGGCGAATAGTATGATGTCAGGTAACTCATGGTTTAAAGCTTTATGAGACGGCAATGAGAGGGGATTGAGGCAGGAAAGCTCATTGGAGTTTGCATCTAATTCGAGATTACAAGATGTACCTTTATTCCACCAAAATTAGTCCAGAAGACTTATCAAATCTATCGAATCCTAAGAATTTCATCGCAGCTCGGAAATGAATTCATCGAGTATGTCGCTTTAGTTCACTTCAATCTGATTTCATGCATGGAGCAAGACTTAGTTCTCATGTAACGAGCAGAGAACTAGAATGGGATGAGGAGCCACGTTCATGTTTCGTGCGGACAATAGAAAATAGTGAACATTCTGATCAGTTGCTGACAGTGAGACTATAAATCTAAAGGAAACTAACATGGAACCCGTAACAATACAATTTTAACAGGGCTCAACGTGGAGAGAGAAAGAGAATGACAAGAGCTGTCTGATATCCTGGAGGAAATTAGGACAGCCAAATCAAGTGAGCCCCAGAAAGGAACAGAGAATGAAAATGAAAATCTTACTGTGATTTTTTGACATTTTTCCAGGTCTCGGCATTTCTGACAAGATTCAATAGTTGCTCTTCCATCTTTGAAGTTGCACTGATTACCTTTGCAGCTCACCCTCTGTATTCAAAAAGATAGGTAGAAACACATATCATTGATGGATAAACAAGGGTACCCCTGTGATTCTGTGCTATTCAAGCAATTATCGTGCCCTAAGACCGAAGCCCTGACTGCGCCTTTTTTTTTCGTTTTTGTTTTCTTGGGAGAAATGCCTTCCTGCTTGTAGTAATACAAATGGATGGAAGCAAACACACAGAAAACCCTGTTGAAATGCCGTGGTTTATGAGCGAAAAAAATCATCCAAACTAGGCAAAAGACAAAGCTCTGGTTTCCAAGAGCCACTAGATTTGTATCTCATAGCCTTTAAAGCATTTACGGGATAAAAAAATGCAGAAAAATGTATTACTTCCTGACAAAAGTGAAACACAAAGCAAAACCAAAAGGATATTAAGCAAAAGTTTCAAACAACCATTAAGCCAAGCAACGCTTTAACCCCTCTTTGGAATTCATTACTTATATCCAATTTGTTGTACCATGGTGTTGATGTGTTTTCATCATGACTCATTTTTCTCAGTCTCACCTACCATTATATCACGTGAGCAACGTCTGTCTCCTACTGTATAACAGTGGTAGTAGAACCAAGCAGAACAACTTATTCCTGGAGGCCCCGCTGCAAAGCCTCCATGACAGGAGTTTGAACTGTCACACCATCCACAGAATGGATCTGTCACACAATCAGCGCAGCTTTTGTACTTTCCACAGAAGGAGTAGGTACAGCCAAGACCCTGCAGAAGCACCCATGCACTTTTTTGCATTAAGTCGCTTTGGACAAGATGATAACTACTGTTCTCAAAGATGAGAACGTATGGGTGTCGAACACAATGGCTGTAAATTCATGAGAGCACTGACGTCTTTTTAAGTAGATCAGGGTACTAAAGAAATTCCAGAGTCATCGGTAGCAACTAGAGAGTAACACTAACGTTTTGGTACTCTATGGTGCATGCTCCATAAAACATGTACTTAGTCGCGCTGGGTATCCCACTCGCCACACTCAACACAGTCATGAGCTCTGATGCTATTGAATAGAGATGCTACTTACTAAATATCCGGGGTAGCATTTGCAGACATTAGGACCCATGCATTCACCGTTACCAGAACAGTCATGCAAGTCATGGCAATCAAACTTGGAACAGTCTTCTCCGGTCCATCCGGGATAACAAAAACAAATGGCACCTATACAGTCTCCATTATGGAAACAGCTGTTTGGGCAGTGGATAACTGTAAAGCCAAAAGGAAATTTAAGTCTACCTAAATGGTAGCTGCTTCCTTCATAAGAAGGCATATCTCAAGACGAGTAATCACCCACACAATGGTTCAATGCAAGGGTAGAGGTCAGATGAAAACCGTCTGTCCCCTCTCCTCTCTGGTTTGGCTGTGATTCGGTGCTTGCAAGACGATTGCAAAATCAATGGAGATCCTTTTTCATCTTCTTAGGGAATTGATATCACTTTCTAATATTTATATTGTTACACCATGTGCAGCTATGGTTCGTAAGACTTTCGAACAAGAATTGATTTTATCATAATACAGATGATAATAAGGACAATGATGATAACATTAATTACAATGTTGATGGTGGCAATGATATTACATATGAGATATATATTAACAATAACAATAATAATGATGATGATGATGATGATAAAAATCGGTCTCTTCCCTGATGGGGCCTCTAAGGGCCAACAGAAACAAATTGTCAACATAGAGTTTTAAAACCACAATTGGCAGGAGGCGCACTAGTTGGCTATACACAAAGTGTAGTCAAGGAGTCGAACTCGAAGAAAAACAACTCCAGTGAGCAGCAGGGTGGAGTACAAGGTGTAGTACAAGTCCAGCGCCCAAACCACTCGATCACACTGCCTTCTGTATAATATTCAGTTAAAAATACTAATAGCATTTATTCCTCTCTTATGATATTGAGTATGATTTACCTGGCCTCCTCACACAAACAAAAGGATGAAGTTCATTACAATGAGTTTGCGAAATATTTCCGTTTGCAGCAACAACCGGACATATTTCATTGTGCTGATCATATCCATTGTGGGACTGTAGCGAAGAAATATAATATGGTAAATGTCTCAATTACTACCCTTTTTTTTAGTGCATCTTTAATTTAATATTCAGAAAGAAATAAACCCTGAACACACAAAATAGCGAAAGAGAGACAATAAGTTTTTTTGTTTTTGAAATCACCTGTTCAGTTGAGAATGTGCGTGTAAAATTTTAGGTAACAGAATCACATGTACATGAAACCAGGACGTAACTTCGACTCGTTTTCTTCCAAATTGGTACAACTTCCTTCGACTAGAGGTGAAGGACTGTTAATTGTGAACAATTTGAACAAATTAACTGTGGGTGGCAAATTTATTTTTGAACGAGATATTTACTCACCTCCCTCATGAAGCGCCTGCTTACGGTCCACAGGGAAGGCAACACACTTGAACGAACCAATGATTCTTTTTGCCTTAGATATTCTATGAGTCGTTTGTCTTCGTTTGAAAGCATAGTGATTAGATTTCCACCATACCTCTGCAAATAAACGTATAATATCACGATAACACAGCATTGCCAGTTTTCTAATAAAGGAATACAAGAAAGTTAGGGACAATGATGGTGGAGATCTGTGTCGGCTGCAGCACCCTATGTATGCGTCCCCAGGTCACATCGCCCTCTGGCTAAAAGACCTCGCCGCCTAGTATAGTCATGGTGCCTAAAAGTCCTTTCGTCAATTCAGCTCAAGCTTACAATTTGAATAAAGATAGATAAAAAGGGAGTAGCGTAGACTTAAAAATACAAACAAAAACAAAGCGAAACAAAATGAAAACAACACCAAAATAAAAAAAAACAGAAAATGATACAGAGTGTCACTACTAACTACCCTTACCCCACAATAGTTCTCGGCATCGAGGAAAGTGAAAGAGCCTCCTTTGTACAAATAACACATCTCATCGTCTTTTATCCATTCAGGCGGGCAAGACACTGGAAAATAAAACTGATGAGCTATTTCGTATTTTAAACTACCCCATGACCTCGTCAATTTGTTATTTGTTTTGATATCAACAGTTTAATTTGTACGATAACACAGTTGGCTAATACACGTGAAAATACAAAATTTTTATACCAATGTAAAATTCTCTCTGACAGATCAAGGACTGGGTACCTTAGGACATCCTAAACTAAGATAGCTGCCGTCAAAAGAATCCACAAATATTACAAATTATACGGTTAATTTGATTTATTTGGGAAAAGATTTAACAGCTTAAAACGTTGAAGGGGAAAATTTTTAAGGTGAATAGGCGAGGCATCAAAACTTGGACATTGAAAGCTGAAAAAAGTTTCACCTGATATAGCTTTTTGAGATGGTAGCTTGACAAATGGCTGGAATACAACTGTTATGGACAATCGATAATCCTTGTTCTTATCCAGGATCACAGAATAAATGAGATTTGGTACACTTTCTCCCCACCAATTTAACGTGGCGTTAACTGTGAGTGGACTCCCTCTCATTGTGGTACTGATCTGATAACGGTTGTTAGGATTCTGCAAAACGTTTCCCAGAATTTCCGCTGCTCCATTGCAAAGAATAGTTGCTCCATAGTTGACATTAAGCCCCTGTGCACCATTCTTGTACAAGGTATTATTTACAAATCGAAGACCAACAATACTTGTTTGGGAATTATCGTACAGAAAGACGTAATGGCCGACGTTGTTGTAAAAGAAATTTCCTTGAACGATTGCCGTAAACTTTGTTATGACACAGACATTATTTGCTGAACCATCCCATTTTTGCGCCAGGTTTAGAGAAAAATAGTTATTGCTAACAATAACGTTCATCTAGGGCTCAGAAACGCCTTCTACATGTAATATGCCACCTTTGTTATTCTCAATGGTGTTAGCATGGATATGGCTTACTGGTAGGCTACTCGTGGACAGTTCATTGAATATCCTACAATAAATACCTCCGTTATTATTTCCGGCGATGTAGTTATTGACTATTTCAAACTCTTGTTTAACAGCAGTGAAATGAATTGCTCCTGACGGCCTCCCGCTAAGGACTGGATTAAGACCATTGTTTGTTACTTGACAACGTTTTAGTCTAAAAATTCTTCTTTCACTCTGAGTCGACGTATACCGTACACCTTGCTTGACGTTTCCGCTGAAAACGCTTCCGGTTACTTGGTGCATGAAAGCAGCTGTTAAGAAAATCAAGTTCTCATTTCTTTATAAAAATCAATACAAAGAGAATCATTTAACATTACGTTATTCAGTTTCTTGGCGAGATTTTTCTTCTCCAAGCTTTAATTTTGAACTTGATAGGTTGATTAAATCAATAGGAGACATCCACGAATCGCCTAATAGTACTAAGTGCATTGCCTTAGACGCAAAAATCACTCTTGATAAACGGATACTCACCGAAGTGAAGGTAAATATGCCCCACTTTTACTAGCACAGAGGAAGTAAATTCTTGAAGTAGATATTACACAAGCTGAATATCTAGCAGATTAAAACTTCATCTTTTTTTATCAAAACCTCAAATGTTTTTAAAAACTTGCCTACACGACGTGCTTATCATCTTTCACAAACTGAAACTGAAAGTTCCATCACTCTTTCTAGAGGACGAATAAAACTTTTGCAGCGAACGATTTTATTGTTAACGTGTAATTACTGCGTCTTCGTTGCAACATTGATTGTCTACACTCGGAGTAAGGTGCTCCTAAGTTTTTTTAAGGTTGGAAAGAAAAGCAAAACTAAATATGTGTACTGAAAAATATTTGTGTTCATGGTCAGGCCTCCCCTTTAAATGTCAGATTTCCTCTGCAGAAACCAAGGATTCTCATCAGCTGCTCGAAGATTGATATATTACTTAGCATATCAACCTGAAGCCAATTAATCAGCTTTTGCCTAAGCAGTTCGCCAGCGTGGTATGTATCAATTTAGAAAATATCAAAACTTACACGAGTCACAACGAACGAAAGCCAAGTCGTCGATGTCAATGTCGCCCCAGGACTCCACATATCCCAGTAACACAATTGAGTAACTGACATTAGCACTGGGTAGCTCAATCACTTTCTTTTCCCATTCGTTCACTGAATCGCTCGTGGACCACAGGAGTGTCGACTTATCAGTATTATCTTCCACAAAATAGACAGATATCGATGCTTTGCGGGAAGCCCAAGCATCCAGCTTGTAGTAGAACACCAAAAAACAGTAGTTGCTGTCGTTGAAAATTGATGGGCTGGCGAAGGCACCATAGCCAGATACCCAGGATCCTTTGGCCTGAATCCATAGTATTTTCCCTGCGTAAAATATGATAAAAAGTAAGCGCTATAATTTTTTTTTTAATCACATTTCTCTTTTTTTAATTTCTATAATTCAATCAATAATTTTCTCCTCACTCTTTTAGAACTAGTAAGCACTACAATTCTTAATTATACTGCCGAACATAATGTGCGCCTGTTTTAATTACTATTAATGAGACGGTGGGTATATTTCCTTTCAAAATAACGGAGAAGTGAGAAACTGAAAGTCGGAGGAAACTTCGAAACTTGTCGCCAGGAGAGTAGAATGAAATTTGACAGGACCACCTAAACGTTCCCAATCTCTCCTTCAGAACGAGAATGAGCTAACAGAACGTTACAGGACTACTCATTACTGATTCAGTTGATAGGATCCTGTTTAAAAGTAAATAAATAAATAAATAAATAACTTTATTTAACGAGGGAAGCACTTTAAAGTCTTAGACTGAGAAACCTATGGTTCTCACAGTCTATCACTACTTACCTTCATACATTGAATAGGTGTGGTCATAACCAGAGGATTCCCAGCCATGATACCATTGTTGAGTCAGAGCATTGTTCCTGAAACGTGACTTGGGATAGCGTCTCCAGTCACAGAATCCATCATCAAAAGAACAAGGTATATCTGAAGAAAATTAAGGCAGAAATATTAGCAGCGTTCATTGTCTCGCCACACTCCACTCATAAACATATCCTGGTTCGTTGTTCTAGTTCAGTTATTGAATGAGTGTTAGGAAGAGGAATAAATTTTTACAAAGCAAAGCTTGGGGAATTATTCAGGAATATTCAGAATGTTTGCACCACAACCACAATAATTCACAGAATCGCGATGAAGACAAGAAGAACAGTGGTAATGATGACGATGAAAATGAAAAGCTAGCTACTAACCTTTGCTATCAACTCGTTGAACTTGCAAAAGCATTTCGCTACTGTACCATCCTTCGAAGTTGACTGTAAAATAATCCCACCCCATCATTCTTCGCTTTGAAAATTGACCTGAGATTTTACGTCCATGCGGAGTTTCTATCTCAAAAGATTTTGAACTTCGCATCACTAGCAGTTGAATAGCAAAGCCGGCATCTCCCTCTGTTTGAATCTTTATCTTGCAGGATATCTTTAGATTTGAAAAAGTCTTAAATGGTGCTCTAACGTAAATGAATAAATCGTGATCCGTGATGTTAACCACTTTTTGTGGGGAGCACAGATTGATTTGCCCGTATGAAATACCATTAATCCAATCACTGTACTCTTCACGAAAACTCAGTCCAAACTCGTTATTCATCGATTTGACGTTTTCAAGTGTAATGTTTGTTTTCGTAATGATAAGATCAGTTCCATTTCCTCCGGTATTCACGAAGGAACTATTCCTTATAGTGACCTCTTTTTCTGGGAACCAAACCTTGATACCACCTGATGTGCAATTAAGAACAGTCACATTGCTTACTTCTGGAACGTATTGTATCAGCTCAATAGCAGCGACTTTTTCGCCATGTTTTACGCCANGGCCTCTGGGAAACCGCAAAACCGGAGAAAAGAACCTCCAAAACCGAAAAACTGACGAAAAAAGGCAGCAAAAACCGAAAACCGCATGCAATCCTGACAAAACCGCCACATTTTCACGTTTAAAGGGGTCAAAAAGGACAAACCGAAAACCGCATCAGACTTTTCGTGAAAACCGAAGACCGAATGCAAAATCACGTAAATTCCGCAAACCGCTCTGAACATCAAAACCGAAAAACCGAACCAGTTTTTGGCCCAAAAACCGAAAAAACCGATCCAAAAAACAGTCACAACCGCAAAACCGAAAATCCCAAAGCCCCCCTCCTATACCATTTCCTGTGATCTGACTGGTCTAGACATAACGAAAACAAACTGATGTGGCAGAGAGAGGATTGAGACGAAACTTTCTTTAGCTAGCTTTTTCGTGACGGCCATATAGTAATGCGAGGGGGGCGGCAGAACAGAATTTAACATTTTAAGAGGGACAAAATTGACATATTAATGTCTTTATGATTGTATTACAAATCTAATTTTCGACAGACATGTTACCACTATTCTCGCACTTTGCGCGGATATTTTGCACGCACACACATTTTGCTCGCAGTGTTTTTTTAGCCAAATTCTATTCGTTTCCGATGAGATGTCTAAGAAAACACCTGGTGGAAGGTAGCGACCGATGAAATAACATAATTATTTTCTTCAATGTCATCAGTAATTTCCACATGAGTGTTGAACGAAATGTCTCGTATTAGAAGTAGTTCTGGAAGAATTTAAAGGATCTCACTTCGACCAGCTTTAGCCGCAGGTTGCATTTTTATGGACCAAGACGAAGTATATAAAAAAGCAAAAAAAAGGAAAAAAAATTGGCCAATATGCAGCCATCTTGAACTCACAATTGGTCAATAACGCATAAAATTGAACCGAAAGCTTAATTTTTTTAATCTAAGCTTTTGTTAGACTGTCTTACTTGACAACACTTTGTCATAAAGTCCAAAGACTGTTCTCAAGAAGGAAATAGATTATCCATGAGCTGAGACGAGAAACAAAAGGACCTTTAAGAAACTGTAAAAATCAGCAGCTGGCAGAAACAATGACCCCATGACGGTCTTGGTGTCACGTTCCAGGTCAATCACCGTGATGTATGAGGCTGGCAGCAAGATCTCAAATTCGTATATTTAAGATCACTTCATACACGACATATGTGGTGAAAACTAAAGAAATACACGATATCTTGAAATTAAAGGAAACCGTAAAAGCTACAGATTGAGCAAAAGCGCGAACAAAAAATAGAACGTAACAGTCATGACTTATCTTGGATTTTGCCTCCGAGGGATAAAGAACTCCTAGCTTTAAAAAACTCTGAACTCCTTACCGTATGGGCGACTACTGAGAAGATCTGATAACTGATCTTGCAGCTCATGGAGGGGGGCTTTGGGATTTTCGGTTTTGCGGTTTTGACTGTTTTTTGGATCGGTTTTTTGGTTTTTGGGCCAAAAAGGTTCGGTTTCTCGGTTTTGATGTTCGGAGTGGTTTGCGGATTTTACGTGTTTTTGCATTCGGTTTTCGGTTTTCACGAAAACTCTGATGCGGTTTTCGGTTTCTCCTTTTTGACTCCTTTAAAGGTGAAAATGTAGAGGTTTTGTTAGGTTTGCATGCGGTTTTCGGTTTTGCTGCCTTTTTTCGTCGGTTTTTAATTTGGTTTTGGAGGTTTTTTTCTCCAGTTTTGCGGTTTCCCAGAGGCCCCAATGCCCCCCTCCTCTTGGAGAGGGAATTTACTTAATACCTTGACGAGGAGGAAATAAAAATGAACAATGGTTTGTACTGTTAGCCGCAAATGGAATTTCTATAATCAATTAGTCAATGGAATTTTGTAAATGTCTTTGCGATAGAAAGAGAAGAACAAAGTTTCTGAGTGATAAGAATTAAAGTTCATCTCCGTGAACGTGACACTACGACGACAAGTCAGAACAACGGCGGCCGTGCGCTCTGACTAAACCAACGTGCAGTTGATTTCTGTTTTGATAAATGCGAGGTCTACTGTGATGTTTTTTTTTTCCAAAAGAAATCGTACATACCTCAAATTTACATGATAGTGATATCATGTGTATCCTCAACCGTCCCAAATAAGTCATCGCAGCTAGATTATAAATAAATTATGATTTCTTCCACACACTTCAACCGACGCCATCCGAACTGCCACTAACATAAAAGCTCTTTCTATGCTATATTAAGTGAACTGGGTCCCAAGTGCCATAGATATCAAAGACAAATATGCGGGACTAAAACTTAGGGCTAGCTTAAGTTTTTAAAGGTTGGACGGTGACGTCTTGTTTCATGACGTCATATTATGGACAAAATTGTCTATGGCCCGGACTAAAAGGACATTGCTGAGCTAATTTGGCGACAATTGAAATTCGAATAGTTTGTCGATAATAATTCTTTTTAAAGAGAGGAAGAATTTTTATTAGAGATAGAAGCCTGCAGCAAACAATAAAGCATCACTTGTGGTATAATAATTCATAAATGAACTCACCACAATAAGATCCATCTCCCCAAAGCCACCTGTAATGACAATTCCAGAGGCTCTCTTCGTTTCCTTGGCAACGAACGTTCTCTATTATCAAGGGGTGGCTACTGTAGTATTTGTAATACCGCTTTGCTCCGAGGAAGCCAAGATGTCTGCAGGCCACCTGAGTATCTGTGAAATCCCAAGAACTCCAGTCGTTGCAAATGGCCCCCCACTGTCCATTATACTGTAGCTGAAGGCGCCCGTTACTGTGGGATGTTCCATCTACAAGCCTTATTCCCCGACTGTAGAATTCAGCCTCGTTTGTGTTATTGCAAAAAGGTGTTTCTCCACACGAAACCGCTCGTAAAGTAATTCGACGCGAAGATGTCCCTTTTGCATGAAACGACCCACGAACACGAATACCCACAGATGGAACAAAATTCACATGCGTTCCAGGTTCTATTGTAAGAGTGGCATTCTCTGGGACAACCAAGTCACTGGTGACCAAGTATGGACCATCTGCACACGTGAGGGTCTGGTTACCAATGACAGTGCCATTCAATTGCCTTGAAATATTTTTCCCGCTCCCACAAAATCCGTAACCGAGAAAGATGGCAAGTAGTATGCAGTATCTTAGAAACATCGTGTCTACTCTTACCTGTTGTTAGGAAAAAATGGGAATGTAAGTCTCAGAACACCGAAGGCATTGAAGAGAGAAAGCCGTCAGAAATCCACCACGTTTTCTTTTTTCAAATAAAACAAGAAACACATTAACCTGAGAGGCATTTTGGTACATGAAGAGCAGACCACACTCCCTAAATTCACCCATGACTGGCGGTGGAGGAAGTTGCCATTACCATTATTATTATAATTAATGTTACCATTGATACAAAAAAAAAAAATAATAAAAAGAAATATATAAAAAAACCCACCCCTCTTCTACTATCTAAGGGCTGGGAAAGATGAAGAATTTGGAAGAAGGCGGGGTTACGTCCACCCCTAATGAGACCGAGTAGATACACCTCAAGGTTGTCGGCGCTCTGTAATTGATGGCATTCAAGCGACATATCGTTGCCTACATGGAATTTATGCTCGGGCAGCAAAGTTACAAATGATAAGGGACTGAGGATTTAAAGCAGTTCAAGTTCAAGAAATTGGTTCCTCCAACCGAAGTTTTTCTCGCCAGAGGCATGGAAATTGGGACCAGATATTTCTAGCGACTGGTCGGTTTTGTCTTAAAACTCAGTTTCCTAAAGTGCTCTTGATTGTATTTAAACTTAGCTTATAGTAAAACCAAATCGATCTCTGGTTTCCTATACAGTAAAAACCCGCGTGTAAGAACCTAGTTTTTTTTCATGTCTGGCAAAATAGGTTCTTATGTTTTGAGGTATTTACTGACAACTTAGGCAAAACAGGTTCTTAATAGGTTCTTAAAATATCTTTAATGGAATGCTATTAAATGATTATAATACACTGTGTACTGAACAATGTACTTAATTATACAGTTTATAAGTTTATACCCAGGAGTACATTTTTTTAACTTACTTTAATACATGACTGGGAGCCATAAATACAGTGGGGAAACTGTATTGTGACATGTTTTATAGAAGTATCAAATGTTATAGTTACAGACATGCTACAACATTGTTTCATTATCCAGAATGACTTTTCATATAAGAACCATGCAGGTTTTGCTGGTAAACAGGTTCTTATATTTTTGGGTATTAAAATCCGAAATTTGTGCCAAAAAGGTTCTTAATTACTAGGTTCTTACACGTGGGTTTTTACTGTATTATAACCGATGTCGGCCTCATCGGGGACTTATTCTTAGCACAATAAGGAAAAGCGACACTTTGTCACGCTTTAAACAGTGCGTGACTGAAGTGGGCGATAATAATAATACAGGTAGCAGAATATATTTTCTATCCATTCCTTTGAGGTAGTTAAAACAAAAACAGGACCGGCACAAACATCAAAGTAACGATATATCGATCATGTTACGCGCGCATGATTTTCCGAAAACTTTGGCGCATAAAGTTAGCATGAAAGGAAAAAAAAAATTAGCATTATCAACCTCATTTTTATGATCAGTAAGGTTATAGAGAATGGAAAACTATGTTCTATTTGATAAATCCATAATTTTAAGAAATCAGATTTCCACGGCAATCTCCACCCAGTCATCCGGCCACTGATATTAATATTATGAATAAAGGCAACCTGAGACAACAAGGGCAAATTTCTCGATGCGCCTTGAACACCAATTCTAGGAAATGTCATCAATTGTTTCCATGAATTCCAAGTACCAATTTTTCTATTTTCGCTTTACCACGAACGCGGTGATGTGTTGTTAAGTGAAATGTTACATGAGGATTTTACAGCTAAAAGAAATTAAAATGCTGCTTGCCACCCGTCCACGAAAAAATTGCATGTTTGTGTATCTCCTCCAAAATTCTGCCATTTTATGGTAGTGAATACAAAAT